GGAGAAGCTGCCACGTAGGGGGGGGGGGGGGGGGGGGGGGAAACTAAATCACAGGACAGGGACGTACATAAGAGACATATATCCCTTTTGGCTCTGTCAAAAACCTCTTTCACAGAAAAATAATTTGGCTTCCCTGTCCATGCTGTGAAATGGACAATGATTCACCTCTCAAATATATTCCTGCGCTACACCTACTGATGTCTAGGAATCATTTTGGAAGACAAAGGTAAAACAATACGCCAGTGTAATAATCTCTAGGCAAAAAAAATATGTTGATCATCTGTTTAATTTCCTTTTTCAGAAACAGCAGCTAGCACACTTCACAAAATAGCTCCCCCCACGTGGCTAATATTGTTCCCTTGACAGAATTTAAGCCCTCTTATGATCTGTGAAACTCTCTTTGGCCTGTGGCTGCTCTGAAAGGACATTTCTTTTCCTGCTATAGCGCCAAGAGAAACACGGTAGCATCTCTCAGGCTGTCTTGACTTCGTTACAAGGAAAAAAAGACAGCTAGAAGTTGTCTATGAGAACTACTCTGGTCTATGATAAACTACAGTTGATGACCTGCCAAGCGCAATACAAAATCCACGTTCAAAAGGGCTTTGAAAGGTGACTAAAGTCACGCATCCCCTGATGAACATCATGACGGAAAGAAACTTTGTGACTCTCTATGCAACAGATGCTTTCTGAACAGAGTTAATTTGATCTTTTGACCTGCTCGCTTGCTGAAGACAGGCTTTGTATTAGGTCCTCTGATTTCTGAGACTGATTTCTTTCAGTATTCTCATAGCGCTGCTGCCAGTCCAGTTCTTCTTGTGTTTTACTCTGTTCCAGAACCCATTCTCCCTCAGCTGCTGGAGCCAGTTGTTGTTTATACCTACGATAAACACAAAAAAAGCTGAAAATGTTACTGTTGATTTCAGCAGAATAAATATTGAGATATTAAAAAAACAAAACAACAAAAACAAATACACACACAGCCTTGTTTGTTGTGCTCTTCTTTCCTCGTTCTGTTTTGGCAAAAGAAATCTGTTACATTCTATTCCTAATCTAAATATTTTTCTGGACAGAAGCGTTTACATTACTGAGAACTCAGCGGTCTCTTGAAGTACATCTTTATGGGTATTTAGAGTCAACTTCAGAAGTTACCTCAGCTCAAGCTGCATAAAATGCTCCTCAACAGATACTGCTCTCAGCAAAACCATCCAAAGCATATTTCTGATTTGCTAATAATGGAAATAGGATACAAAAGGGCTAGGAAGCAGGAACAGAAGATTGTTGGATGGTTGGAGTAGACTTGCTAAGCTCAGAGCCTGCTGCATATGCATAAACTGCAAACAAACCGAAGAAAGGGAAGGGCTAGGAGTACACAGAATGAGACAAATTTCGTACTCAGAACTTAAGGGCTTTCAAGACTGGTTCAACTTCCTTAGGACTGAGCAAAGGCTTTTATAACACAAAAACATTAAGACTGCAGGACAATCTTAAGAGTGACTGTAAATGGCACTTTAGACAAAGTATTCTTTACCATTCTGCATCTTCCTGGAACTTGGCCAATTTTGTCCTCATTAACTTATCTTCTTCATGCATTGATTGAATTTGGAAGTCTTTAGAAGCAAACTCTTTAGAAATCTCAGTCAGATGAGAATGCCAGCCTGTTTTTAGTGTTACAAGTTCTTCTTGAAGTCTACATCCAGGAAAAGAACAAAAACAAAGCCCACATGAATACATAATTGTTCAGACAATAAACAAAAGATATAACACAATCTCGTATGTAAAACTATTCAATAACATCTTTTAAATTAAAAGCTCAGAGGGAATTCTGTTTTCTTGAGCCAAATGCATACTGCAAACCAAGCATTTCCAGTCATGCAAAATGCAGGCCACCTAGACAATTCTTTATTTGGTTTCCAATGGCCTTCCAGGAATGGCCGTTGCCTCTTTACAGACTGGCTATGGCAGAAGCTCTTTTCTTCCGGTATGCTGTTGCTTCTCTAGATTCCCAGCTACTTTCTTTCCCATGTCAGCTCCTTCTCTTGCTAATACTTTGAGTAGCCTGTTCTTGCTGGTATCAACCATATAACTAACTTTTATATATATGTCAAAGTTTTGCTACACGTTTTGTTGTAATAAGACATATACGATTTCAGACAGTATAAGTTTACTCAGACCTACATTTGTCATAGCTTCACAAATATGGTAACACATCTGCCTCACCAGACATACATACACATCCTATACTTAACAGAGCCTTTCTCAAAAGGGTTTGCATGCAAGCAGTATCCCTACCAAAGGATAGTAAGTGAGACCTTAAAGAAATAGAAATGGGGGGGTTGGGAAGACCAAGCAACTTAACCAAACATCTGAGAAAGACTTCACTTTGCTGCTTTGCATTTACAAAATAGGAATCCATCTTAGATGAGCAACACAGGCAACTACATTCTAGAAAAGCGAATCTTAGCTTTGTTCAGAAATTAAGTCTTACTTAGACTAAGTTCTAAATATAGAGCTTAGACTGGAGATGAGAAAGTTTATTATAAGGTTCCATTTATATCCATTGCACTACATCTTTCATTAAAAGAAAACAAAAAACCCTGGAAACTAAAAATTTACTATTACTGCCTTGAATGGCTAAAGAGGGCAAACAGAATGACCACCAACCCTTTCCTCACCTAGGAGAGGAAAAATAAAAAAGATGGGGGAGGGCAGTGAGTGACAGACCAGCCTGACACCACTTCACACACACAGATTTGGTATGAGGTCTTATAACAAGGTCACCAAGCCAATGAGCTCACCAAGCCTCCTACAGCAAGTAGCTACTATTTAAAATGACATTTGGAAGCAGGCATTTTCAAGAATCTTGAAATAAAATTTCAAAGGTTATGCTTCTCAACACCCTTAGCCATGTCAAGATTAGACATGAAATTGCACTGGCACAGCCAAAAGTTATTCCTCTGAAAGAAGCAGGAGTCTGGAGATAACAAAATCCAGGCTTATCGGTAATAAAGACACAAACATCAGAAATAGCCATCACGTTATCCTTCAGTCAAGCTACCGCTAAGTTTTTTTTAAATTACAAGAGTTAGTCTAAACGTACAAAGAACTTCCACCCAAATAAAGGTGACCATTTGTAGGTGTTGTTGAGATCTTTGCCATTCTCATTCCATTGTCCCAGCTCACGAAGGAACTCAGGGTACTGTGAGGTATTGCACATGCTGACACTGGAAAAGTGATCCATTTGAGACTTCTCCCTATTTACAGCAATCACAGATATCTAAGAGGCCACACTGCAACTAAATGGTATCTTGCAAACACCTTTTGTGTTGAAGGCAGGCAAAAAGATGAGAAAAGCAAAAACAGTTTGTCCTCACAGAGAAAAAGATATTTGATGTAAATGGGTTTTACGTTGCACAGGGATATGTACCTCTTACATGAACAGCTGCATACTGATCCTTCTTCAGCTAAGACAGGATAAAATCCCCTGTGTAAGGCTCCTCGAGTTTTAAAAACTAGTTTGAGGTTTCCAAAATCCAAAACACATTTCAGATCATCTATTTTGTGGAAAGTGAGAAAGAAGTTTTAGTAAAATTGTCCTAACTCTGATGCTATCAAAGAGCTCTGGAAAGGAATACTTCTATAGACATTTTTCAGTCTAAGGGTCCCCATAAAGAACTGTGGGAAGATGAGTGGGTAATGTTAAACCAAGCAGTCTCTCAATACAGTATGTTATTTCATTAGAGCTTAGGAAACAAGACAAATCAGGGAACGCACTTTCCAATGAGGGCATCTTTCTCTCTTAAGCAAGCACTGTAACTCCATTCTTTTCTCTGTAGCTCCGTTTCCAGACTTTGATGTCTTATTTGCAGTTCCCTAATTTGCTTCTCCAAATTTTGTAATTGTTCGACTTGAGTTTCTTTTGCTGAAGCTGGCACCGCAGCCTTTTCCTTGGCAGCGTGATCTACTACTTCATGTCTAGAAGATGAAAAGAAACAGAATAAAGTGAGGTGTCAGGCAACATAAAGCATGTGGTTTTTTTCCCCTCCAAACTGTTGTTTTACTTTCTTGTCAATTTTGTTTGAGCAAATTTAAAGAACCATTGCCAGAAGCTCAGCCAACAGAAATTAGCCTCAGCTTGCTAGCGAAACAGGTTAGGGGTTTTTGTTGTTTGTTTTCTTTTAAACTCAGAATGCCACTATTTGGATGAACTTGAGATGGGGATAGAATCTCTCTATACCATTGAAAGAGTTTAGCTCCAGTTGATCACAGAACTTTTAAGTTTATGCTTTGCACAAAGAACCAGTATTTCACCTAATAACAGGATCAGAACCATCTTAAAAATTAGGGTGTTTTAAAAATAGCTCATAGTGTAGTTACTATTTTAACAGATGGACCTCTCCTTTATCTCCATGCAAAATACTGTTATACCACACTGAAAATATTCTTCACATTAATTAAGTAATTGGAAGGCAGCTATGATCAGGGTGCCCAGACAGGAGACTCCAGGAATCCATGGAGCAAAAATACTGCTTGTTTGAATAGACAGTTGTCATTTGCAGATTAATTTCCTGAGCATACACACCAAGACAGAGAACAGGTTTAAAATAAGGGCAGAAGTGGGTAGTTTACGTTAGAAGAAAAGATCAACTAATATTGACTATAGAAAACTCAAATCTAACAAGAAAAAAAAAAAAAAGGAGACACGCAAGTAATTGAGTTATGCAATGTTAATACTCTGATCTAAGCTTTTAATAGAGTGGAAGTTCACCTGTGCCATAAGGAAAACGCTAACAAGCGCCTTTAGATAGCACCAGCAGCTGATTATTTCCAAAAATCGCAAATCCCAAAGTAAAATACTACCGCTTAAAAAATTAGGACTTCTGATCTCAGTTTCACACTGTAAGAAACGCTCACTTTCTCTGAAATGTTTCCATCTTTTCATGCACCAGACCTTGGGGGTGGGGGAGAAAAGTAGTTTACGCTCTAATTCCTATAACCTAACTCAGCAAGCATTGGGAAAAGAATAAAAACAGATTTAGAAACTTCAAAGCTCAGATAATTATGTTTAAGAGTTACAAAGTCAGGAAGGAAGCGGTCAATTATGTAACTGACAGCGTGGAAACTAAATGCGTGAGCATGCCCTCAGCATTTTCCAAAATATACTGGTAAGATTTCAGTTTTTTCTGTTCTTTGACAGCCCTAAAACAAACAAAAACAAAAGAAAAACACACTTTTTTAAACATCAGTTCAAGAAAATAAAACAAAGAGATTGCCACGTTATTCAGCTACGCACTTAACATCCATTCAGCAGCTAGCCACCCGAGTTCCTGTCCAAAGTCACTTTTGTCTATTGATGCCCATACATCATGCAACCCTCCCTCACAGCATTTAGGTGGAGCAAGCAGCTAACATCTGCAGTTCTTATCCCCACTCTTTGGGGAGCCTGCTCTCCACTTCAGGAGCTGCCTCATCTAATTGGTGTACTGGATTTGAGAGTCCTCTTCTGCCATTCAGCCCAGGGAAACTGGAATGAATGTAGTTGAGGTTTTCCTTCAGAAGCAAGGGAGTCTCAAGTTCACACCTTCTCTTTTTACACAAAGGTAGAAGGTTTTACTTTTCAGGTAAAAGCCTTCACATATCTTTCCATGGAAAGTCATGAGGAAATAAGTGATACAGCTTCAAATCACAACTGTGATGTTCAAAACTTCTTCCCAAAACTTTGAGTTTTCTCCAAAACCTTGTTACAGGTCATGTAAAACTACTACTTTGGTAGATGTAATGCAAACTCTTAAATAGGATGAGCTTCCTTGGATTTAATCATTTGAAACAAATTATATGGCCCAGCAACAACACGCATTATTGGCACGTCTCTGAAATCTGAAAGACAAACACAGTTACAGCAGAAATGTTTGTGGTTCATACCAGTTCAAAGCCCAGAACCAGAGGCTAAAAGTAGGAGAGGCTACAAAGATCTAGAACATGAAGCAAAGAGGAAAAAAGGGACAGCAAAGCCAGAAATGAGAGAGAGGAAAGTTCAGGCAACTCAGGTGGAGAAAGACCATAACACATCCATTCCACAAAATAAAACAAACACACATGCATCCTAACTATTTTTCAGTCAGATCTTTGCTGCAAGATTTGCTGCTGCTGTTTCCTTAATTCCCCATTGCATATAATGGATTAAACATAAACAGAAGGAACAGAAATAGAATTATGAATAAGTCTTAAGTTTGAACTAGTGTTATACAGATGCCTTAGACCCATTCAAATAAGATATCCCCAATCTATTTAAGGGGTCCTAATTTTTCAGGTTAAATAGTGAAATTATACATTAACTTCTCCCCAAAGTTGAGGCACAAAAAAAAAAAGTGCTAGTTCTGTCAGACATTTGAATTATGAGTCAGTGCTGGTTGTATGCATAATCAAATAATTAATTCCATCCTATCTATCAGTACTGAACCAGAAAAAGGCAAGCCACATAGTACGTAATTAACTCCAGTCTTGAAACACAGATTTTCAATATGGATCTCTAATGCCTTTCAAAGCTTGCCTCCTTCAAAAGTTTTTTAAAGTAAAGTCAGAAGGCAACAATGAACCTTTAGAACTTTATCTTAAAAGTTTTAAAGTGAGACAGGTTACATGCAGACAGAATGCATTAGAACTTACCCAAAAATCCATGCTACTTAGCAAATATTTCATACCAAGGGTTACTTCTTTTTGTTGCAACAGTGGATGTTACTAGACGAATTAGTTTCTATACATCTGAAACTGTTGCTATAATTAAAGAGCATGTGAAGAAGAATAAAGTTGAAAGGCAGCTTATTTTGACCATAATCAAATTGGTATAATACCGAGCATCTTCCACAGCTACAGAATCTTTAAATTCCCAATCCTTGAATTTGATCTCTTTCTTCAGTTTCAAATTAATTGTTTCTGCTGTTTGTAGTGATTCTGCAGCTCTCCTTCCAGCCTCTTTCAGGGCCTCCAGTTCTTTGGTCAGCAGCTTAACCTTAAAAAGAAGGATAGTAAGACTCAAGAATTCTAATTAGCCCCAATATGATGAAGAGCCCTTACACAGTTCGAATGTTAACAACAGCTCCAGGGAAAACAAACAAACAAAATTTATATTTATTTAAAGTATTCAATTTGAATGGTGTAAATGTGTGCAACAAAAACTCTTTAAAACATCCTCCTCATAAGTCATAACCTCTGCTGTTATTTAAACTTCTACTTCCCTATTACTTCTAAACATCCATTTTGTATCCTTTTCCTACAATTATTATCTATTCTAACATAAATCTGCATACTGCCCTTCCTATATCTTCCTGAAGTTCCTCTCCCACAGCTTGTGTTCCATGACTCCTTAGTTTCTCCCACAGCTTGCCTCAGTAATACATGGGGAAAATGACAGCAGATAGCCTCCCCTTCTGCTTAAAACTTCCACCACTAATTCAGCTATGAATAGCAGATTTAACATACAACTCAATACAGACAATGTTTCATAAAGAAAGAAAAAGATGTTACAGCATTTAGCACACTAGGAGTACTGAGAGTCATTACATTCAAATGCAACTGGACATAGCATTAGAGACAGAAAGAGTATTAGAGATAGCTAACCATGCACTGAAGTCTGAAAGCTACAACAGTTAAAGGTTCCTTCTGAAGTACTATCGGAGGTATAGTGCATAGTACTCAGTAAGCAACAGTACGTGTAAGTTTACATTTAGGAAGTACACATGCAGTCACTTTTTTCACACCAAGTTAACAGCAGTTGGTCTTGCAGTCTTTACAGCCAAGACTGAAGTAAGAGTAAGTCTTTATGTCCATTACTACAGCAGCGTTCTTAAAACAAAACAAAGAAAACCCCACAAAGACGAGCAAAAAAACTAAATTCAGAAACCAAATCCCAAGTTGCGTCAGTACTCAACATGAGATACCACTAACGGCCAGAAAACATTTTAATTTCCTAACAAGGCTTTGGCAAGACAAAATTTGTAGCCAGAAGTAATTTATTTTATTAGACAAAAATCAATGCAGCTAGAAAAAAGCTGACAAACTTTTAGGCATAAAAGTTGTCTTCCTGAAAGTTTGTCTGCTTTTTCCAATGCTATCAATTGGTTTAACATGAGGTTTTTTTAACCTCTAAACACTTTGGTTTGTTGAACTACTATACCATCAGTTAAATCTGAAACAAGCAAACTGAACAAGCAAACTGAACCAAGCAAAATGGGCAGCAAGTCTTCCAAGTAACGCTGGCTATCAGTGAAGAATGCACAAGCAGAGACTACTCCTTTTGGAAGAGTGATTTCCTTATTACCAATCTTATAAGGATGAGACAGGCCTTCAAGGACCTGTACATAGTTTTTGTTTGTGTAGGGGAAAAGGATGGTAGCTATGAATGAAGTTAAGATGCACACTGCAAGTATGTCTGCTTCCTGCTGTCCTGGAAACAACTAATTCAATACACAGGTGGAAGGAAAAAAAAAAAAAAAAAGTAGGAGCATCATCTTTTCATGCATTTCACCCAGGAGTGACTTGAGATTATAATAAACTCATTCACTCTGAGTAAAGCAGAACAGCCAGCTTAAAAATAACTTACCTTAACTTCATGGGACAGAATTAAGTTACCCATTTTGTTCATCTGCTGTCGAAACTCACATTCTCGCCTTTTCATTTCTGCATCAAATTCAGCTAGCATTTCCTATAATGGGAACAACAGATAGGTAATGCTAATACAACAGCATTGATGGACAAACACTGTACTGTCATTTGTTTTTTTGGTTTTGTTTTTTTTGTTTTTTTTAAAATCATTGCACCATTTTTCTCTGCTCTAATGAGGATCAGAACATCCTGAATGAAATCAACCATCTGGTCTATGCTAGTTCCCCTAATATGCCTTGTACAGCAAAGCAGAAATTAAAGAAATACATCAGCGAAATGGCATCCTCTGTAAAATAAGCTCAGATTCCACAAGCAAAAGGAAAAAAGTTAACTTATTTGAAAGAAAACCTTACAGACATTAAAGCTCAATTCCTACACAGACACCTGAGCATTTGCAGTACAAAGACTATTCAGTATGGAAATATCTGCTTTTTCTTTCCACTCTCAGATGAGCAGGGAAGTGCAACTTCCCCTCAGTACTAAGAGTTTATTTATTTATTTTTTAAACTAGGCATATTATTCAGAAACAAGCCATATCAGCTGCAGATAGCAAATGGGCTTGGACTATCTTGGACTCCACAAAAAGAAACAGAATGAAGTTGTTTCAGCCCTGTTTGTCACAAATTTAAGTAAGATTTTAAATATAAAATAACAAGTATTAACAGAAGTTAGAAGCATGCTGACAAGAGTAGTACATGGTGTAAGCACATAAATAAAAGGATATAGATTTTTTATATACAATCATTACAAGCAGCTAGGACATCTGCTTTCTTATAAACACATATTAATTTCATACACACACACACACGATGATAAACATTTAACCATTTTCCCCTTTTTTTTGGCAGAACAATGTTAAAAACAGTACTAAAGCACAAAAAACGGTCACTGACAAACCACACAAGAAAGATGGTAGAAGCACATCACCGAAATTTATAATCCCAGGTCTAAGCTTTTTGTTTAAGTTAAGTAAGACAATCCACTGCTATTAGAAGGGAAAGTCTTGGCTGCAGTAAAGACGCTTTTAAAGGGAATACTTGTAGACCTACTAAAAAGCTAAAAAAATTAAAGCCTTACTGAAAAGTGGCTTGAAAAAAATTCCTCTGTATTTCCATATCAGAGACAGAAAATTGACAGGAGGGCTGCTGGGAGACAGGAAGCTATGGAAAAGTCTCTCTCTTGTATCGCCTATACAGCTGTTGGAACTGGAAAGTACTAAAAAAAAAAAAAAAAGTGTTTGAGAGAGACTGCTTCCAGGATTGCAATTGATGATTCATGACTGAAACTTAAAAGCAAAGAGGACAAGAGGTCAAAAGAGGAGATTTTGGCTAGCTGATGCAATATCGTGTTAGATAAAGGGGAATGGAAAAAAAGTTACCATAAATAGCGTGCATTAGATGATGTGCCCTTATACCCAAGGAACAGTAGATAATCAGTGTTATCATTATAGTTTAACCACATACACAAAGATAACTTCTAAATTAAGCCAATTACCTATCAAGTGTTTTCTAAGCGAGAAGTGCTCATACTCCCTAAGGTAGGTTCATAAACTATCATCGGGAAGCAAGTAGATGACAGACTCCTAGGTGAAGATGGGCTGTTCCAGCAGGACTACCACTCGGAGGGCAGGGAGGTTTGGTTTAGTAGGTTCAAGCTGTAATTGCATAGAAATATCTCCTACCTCTCCAATTTATATTATACATACTGGTTTGTATGACAGACCAAAAATTAACCATTCTAATTGTAACGATCAGCACTGACATGTAAAAACACTTTAAAAAGTTGAATATCTCCTTCCTTGGAGATATTCAAAAGCTGCCTGGACACAATCCTGAGCAACATGCTTGAGCAGGGAGGGGTTGGACTAGATGATCTTCAGAGGTCCCTTGCAGCCTCAACCATTCTGTGAGTCTGTGAGAAGTAAATTTTTAATATCATAAATCTGTTTTTATATAAAAATAAGGAGGGACAATTTTGTTGTTCTTTTAATTTTTTTTTTTTAATTACAATATATAGGTGGTGGAATGCCCCCCCCACCAAGGTATCACAGTTGAAGCTCAGATTTCCCTGTCAGTTGATCAGACTATCCTTTTATGATGAGGTGATAGCAATATAACAGGTAGAAGGCGGGGGGGGGAGGGGAGGAGGCCTTGGAATCAGGAGTATGACACACACAGTACATTTATCTACCTATCTCACCTCAAGCTGCCTCTGCTTTCTAGAGGCTGACCTTTGCTGAAGTTTCAAGGTTAATAAACTTAACACTCTGCTGTCTACATACTTAAAAGAATCTCAGATTACTAAACACATTCTTAACAGTTCCTCACAAGTGGCAGCTGCCAGAGAAGTAGAGAAACAGCTACCACACAAGCACTAAATAACACCTAGAAGTCTAAAGAATTTTCTAAACTGTTATCACACATTTCATTAATTTAAACAAAAAGGCAAAAATAAAAGCTTATACAACTATCTAGCAATGCTAAACCAGAGCATTCTAATAAAAAAGGATAGACTGCTAGGTGGCGCCCTAACACAGCTTTGTTACTCCATATTTTTATACCTGTTTCCGACCAGCAAGCTCTCCTTCCAGGTCTTGGAGTTTTCTTTCCATGACACGTTTCAGGCTCACAAAGTTCTCATGCTGATGACCTATGTTGCTGTTCTTAGAGCTATAAACAAAAATAAAACAAATTTACAAGACTGTCAAAGAAGGTCTTTCCAGTGGTAACACAACTAGAAATACAAGATGCATTAAGTTCCTAAAGGAACAGTCATCTTAAAAACAAATAAAAAAACACCTTTCCTTTCACTACAGATCATTAGAAAACACTATTTCTAAATTATCATACACATAAGAAGTGAACAAACCATTTAAAACAACATGATTCATTATGGTCAAATTGCTCAATCTCCTTTTTAACATAGTATATAAACTTTTACTGATTTTTTTCCAAGATGTTCAGTCTCAATTTAAAAAGGTCAGGCAATATAGAGTATATCATAGTCCCTGGTAAGTTAGTTCAGTATTCATTTCCCTTATGAAAAAAGAATGAATAATGTTTCAACTTCAGCATGTGTCAGGGTAACTCGTCAGCCATCAGATTTCACTAGGGTTTGAACTGCACTCTTCTAAACACCCTCTTCTATGCAGGCTTATCACGCTCTCATATAGTCTCCTCCTCCGCCCATCATAGAGAATGTTCACTGGTGAAGCTCCCTAAGAATCCAACTTAATTGTTTTCTATGATTCAAGTTATTCTCCACACCTTTCCCCTCTCCACTGCCCCCCAACAGTTCTGGAACAGTGTATGTTGTCAAAGTCAAAAGGTAATACCTGCTCTTCAATCCCACTGCTATGCCTCTGGTGATACCTCTAGAGATCCTGTACAATCTATTAGTTGTAGCATCAACTTGGAGCTTGCTGAACTTGTCACCCAGTACGACTCTTAATTGCCCTTCTGAGTAAAGCTATAGTCTGGCAAGCAGCAGGATAAGTTGTTGGACCTCACGTTACTTTAGAGATGCATTTGTTTGTGCCCCCTTTATTTACTGACCTACAAGGATTCATTACAAATCATTTCAGTACAAAATAATCTGGACTAATTACAGGTTTAAAAGGAAAAGGGGGAAGAAAGAAAAACCCCACATATTTCTGCCTATCTCCACAGATCAGCGATAATGACTTCCCAGAAAAGCTTTTTAGCTTTCTTTTTTTTTTTTTTGCTGCATCTTCTCCTCAATACTATCATCTGCTGTGAACCTACTGGTAGGGCATTTTAGACACAAAAATCTAGCTACAGTCAAGACAGGGAAGAAGTTTCTGTTAGCGAGCATACAGAAAAGGTCAGCATGGTAATACGCAAGATTGGCAGCAGCAGACTTGAACTTGTCCTAACACAACCTCCACTGCCAGTAGAGTTACAATATCACTCTGCAGGGTGGACAGTTTTTAACTTGGCTTACAAATCTTCAAGCAGCATGAATACGTACATTCAGGATATAATTTATCTCTGAAATTCTTGTTCGATGTGTATCGTTCTCTTCCCTTTCTTGAATAAAAGGGGTCTCACTGCTCAAAAAGAAAAAAATCAAACTCTTGGTTCTGATGAAAAGTCTCTCTCTTTTTTTTTTTTTTTTTTTTTTAAAAAAAAAAGGAACAAGTAACAGGTAAGAACAACATACCTATCTTTCTCCCTAGTTCCTTAGCAAGGTAACATCTAGAGGCCTTTCTGTAACTGATCTAGCCAGAGTCCAGCAAGGCATTATTTTTCCCATCTTAACTTAGGCAACCATTTCACATAGCGCTTTTAGCAAGAGACAATTCAAAATTGTTTTAAAATAAGTTATTCAAATTTTTAAACAGACTATACACACTGCATCAGGTGGTTAGAACTGAAATTCCATATTCATAACCCAAGCTTAAGTCACAGAAGAGGTCAGAGCCATATATCATTAGAAAGTCCCTTAATATATGAAAATAAAAAAAAATCACCTCTCCCTGTGACACTTCTGCAGTTAGCAATAATAAAACTGACCAGCTGGTTAGAGATCAAGTTTCTGAGTACAGGGAAGACTTAGAAATGCTTGATCTTTTACTTTGGAACCTGAAAACAAAATATACCACTGGTTTTGGATTCAAATACATGGCAGTCTGCCATTTGAACTGGCTACTCCTTCTACTTCTCCCAAAACTATATCTTGCATTTAAGTCTTCTAGTGACCCGGGTAAGTTATTACTCGTAAACGCTAGTAATCTTCAACATGTAGCCAGATATCGTTGAAAAGACATCAGGCACATTGACGTAGAGTAGGAACAACTGGATGACCTTGTTTGAGGATGGAAAATTTTGAACGTCTTCCGTAGCGCAGCAGTTTGGACCACAACTCTCTCTTCCTTTCTGTTATTAGTCTGTGCTTCTGAAACTTGTTACTCATGAGTTTGTATAAGGTACGTTTGTTTACATAATTCTATAAAAGCCCAAATACATGTTCCCCAAAAGTATAGTCCAAGTACTTACATTTCATGTTAAATCATTCTAAACGGATTTTTGCTTACAGACTTTCTACAAACTTTGTCATTCATTTCTAGCAGCTCATTCTACAATTACTCACCATCTCATTCTAGGGGTGTTTTTCCCCAGTAAATGGCAACAAGAGAGAGCAGGATAGTTGGGAAAAAAAGGGGGGGAGAATTAATTTTATTATTATAATATGTTATTAATATTATATAATATGATCTATAATGTTATACATATAAATAATTATAGTGATATAGCATATATATGTCATACAATGTTATTAATATTATGTTATTCTAATATAATAACTACATAGATACAATTGCAAACCAGAAACGGATAGTCATAGATAGCTAAATGCACACTCACTTCCATACTTCACTTAATTTTGCTCTTAAATTTACACATCAGCTAAATCAATCTGAATCCCATAGCCAACAGTTAAGCACATAAATAAAGTATAACAGAAGCACTGTCTCAGTGCAGTCCAGACAGGTACTTCTGATCTGCCTTGTCCTTGAGAGTTGTGGGATAAACAAGGGAGGTGTAGAAAAACAGTTGCTGTACAGCCCAGGAACCACAGTTCAGCTCAGCCTGGGAAAGGGGCAATGCTGGATGAAAGAGCTTCACACTCCTCCTCCCATCCCCAAAGGACATATTCCACATAACATTCCTGCACTGGCTTTAAACGATTTGCATATGCCCCATAACGATGGTAACCTCAATCAGTTGCCCGTGAGAAACTCTAACATGTCCAGATCACTTCTAACAACTGAAAAGTTATTTATAACTAATCCAGCCATCTCTACATTATAAATGCAATCTGAACGAGAACATTTTGCCACAGTGATCAAATTAAAGAGAGAATAATTTCAAAGATACCATTGTATCTGAAGACAGTAGTTACAGTAGAAAAGAACTGAGATTGAGAGAGACTTCAAGAAATAAGCATTTATACTTTTTCCAAGGTTTACAACATATACAGAGAAATAAAAATTATTGAGAATGGACAAATTCAGTAAGTGCACTGCTTTGGCTATCTTGATCTTTTAATTACTTTGATAAGCTGTAAATCCTGGTCCTCCTGTGGCTGGATACGGCCCAAAGGACTTCTTTCCTGCAAGGAAGCCTACCAGAGAAGATGGGTCAAGATTCAACAGCCTGCAGATCCAGTTCCTATCACAGGATTAACTTGTAATAGCCTAAAATAACTGAAAGACTGAACTCTATGTTGAATCCATAGCACAATATAGCAATGAGTGCTTAGTAATCTTAGATATTATTACTAATGATAGTTGGCAAAACTACCATTTAACTCCCTGCACACACAGTAGACAAATTTATCTTGATATAACACATAGGAGACATATACCAAACAGTTTCAGATTCACCTCAGTCGCCATGGAAAAAAAAGTGGCCCCTTCTGATAAATCTTTTTTGGCTCTCTACACCACATCCCTCCCCTAATCATACCATCTCTCCAGCATACACCCCTTATAAATTATGTAGGGGCATGCTGTTTATTTAAGTAAAAGTAAGATTGCTGTTTATGTCATCCCGTCTCTAAGGTATTTCCAGACTTTGGACAAGTCACCGGTAAAAACCAAGATACAGGAGGTATAAAGACAGCCGGAGTCATTTTTGTTTGCCCTTATCCTGTTCATGCTTAGGTATTCCTTTGTCAGAACAAATAATCAGATCTCCATGCTCCAAGTGCTCTCTACCGTATGAACGATGTTACTGCTTTACCTCAAACTAAACATATCCTAGAGAAGCTAGGTTTCTCATTTCCTGCATACCATTCTAAGGAAGTCACGTCTCACCTGCAAAACTGTTCCAGCTCTAACTTATGGTCTTCAAGGTTTTGTTGATAGTGATAATGAAGTTCCTCTCGTTTTTTTCTTTCCTTCACAAGTGCTTGCTCCAGTTTATCTAGCTGTACTCTAAGATCACTAATCTCTGCCTCTTTAGCATTTTCAGAAGTTCGCAGATGAGCGACCATGGCATCATAGCGTTCTAACTCTTTATCTCTCTCTTCTAAAATTCTCAGATTATAGACAAAATCTTCTTTTAACTTGTTAAATTTTTCACGCATGTCTTGGAGCTGCTTTCTGACATTCTGCAGTGTTGTCTTTTGACAAGAGAACTTGCAGGCCTGTAGCTCTTTGCATTCTTTTTCTTTCCACCTAGGTAGCTCATTTAGTTCCATTTCCATTTGCTACCCTGTTATAAATCTGAAATAAAACATGATAGCAGACAGTTAAGACTGAGTACTAAGACAAATCAAGTATCTTCTCATTCCCAATCTACAGCATAGCTTAATTGATTATCAATGCATTTTACATTTAAATTCTAAAATTTCCTGGAGCATCAGGTGACAGCCATTTCTAGAAGCAGAATTCTCTCTTATTTATATTCCTGCATTATCAAGGGATAAGACTTCTCAGTCTAATTACTAAATGCCACTAAACTATAAAGTGAGAAAATATTCTTTTCCCTTTCATACAGATGGAAAACAGAGGAATATAAAGATTTAGTCATTCAGAGAATCCTGTGCTTTCCACTGAGAATCTTAGAGCAGCATACTCCCAAAAGAGGAGAAGAGCTGTAAATTGTATATGTATTTCTCTTATCTTGAGGACACTTATGAAAAATTTAGTCAAACCGTAATCCAGCTTTGTCTCATACTGCACTGCCCATTTGGTCTTTCTACCCATTAAAATTTTAATTTCTGTGTCCCATTTGTCTTCTCTTCCTACAATTATTTTGATACGTTTCCTTGCGTCCCCCTCCCCATCGCTTCCTAACTGTGGACTACAAAGCTACCTGTTCTGTCCTCTGCCAAATCCACCTCAAAGCCACTCTTCAGAAAGCCCAACAGGTATGAGGAAATAGCTGCATTTCAATAACATATTAACTGCATCTTTAAAATTAAAAAGAAAATAAACAACACGGAGGTCATGTGCCCCTTTATCTGCTTCACATACACCTATTATTTACTATCCACATTTGCCTCACATCTAATTATAAACTTTGTAGAAGAATAACCATTGATTCTAAGAGGTGCATATACACTGATTAAAAAAAAAAAAGAAAAAGAAAAAGAAAAAAGAAATTAAAAAAGTAATCTCTGCTCAGCACATTTTCCTAAATCTCTGGAGTCAATACAGCTTCTTTCACAGCACAGTATTGTTCTGTGCCAGTAGTCATAGATAATCCTGTCTGAATAAGCCCTGGGATACAGAAAACAACAAATCAGACAAGCACGCCTTTTAAACAGCGGCTCTTTAATCTCTAAATGTAAGAGACTTCCAGATCAGCAAATGTGATGCAGCATCTCTCCTGCAAAAGAATGCCACAATTTGAACACCATTTATCTCATACACTAGACAAAAGTAATTCTGGAGAGTCAGAAAATGAGTCTCTGATAGCTGGAAGTGACAAGCATAATAAAAGTCAACCTTGTTTTTCTTAGGCACACTGAGTAACGCTGCTAGAAGACACAAGGGTCTGCTGGTCTTTACTTCTGCCTAGAATCACACTGTTATATTTATCTTTAAGGGAATTAAAATTAAAGTATGTATTTTCTTCAGATTATGCTTGTTGATGGTAATCTTCAAATTAAAATAAGGTGTAAAAACAGTATAAATAATGTCTTTTCCATTTAGGTAAGCAGAAATATGTATTTTCTGTAAAAGTCACCATACTGGATATTCCCAAGTAGTATTGTCTCTTTGCCTGTAACATACAACACTACAGAAAGATAGCTCCCTTTCAGTTATTATTGCTCTCAATGCACCTGACAGCTACCACAGTTAGAAAATATTAACTAAACCTGATATTTGTTCTTCCTCTGATCATAAATATATAAAAGATGTTGATAAAAGTGTCATTATTAAGTGCTTACAAGATTGTTTCTGAACTCTATTTCTAAAGACACTGAAAGAAACCGTCCTCAGTCTATACTCATTAAGGTATTGAAACAGTTTCATAAGTGCCTTTTTAAAGAACTGACACGTGCTTCATTAGTTAAACTTAGAAATATATTATTAGAGAAGACCTTAGTGTAAGGAAACAAAAATAAGATCACAGTTCCAGCCTGTTATCCAGCCTTGAAATTATCAAGCAGAAACCTCTTCCCCCTCCCCCCCCTTTTTTTTTTTTTTAAATAGAGGGAGTTAAAAAACAAAATATTTATAATGCAATCTCTCTCTACAATTAGCTTAAAACTAAAATGGTACCATGCAGTTTCCTGTAAACATAAGTTTTCTCCAAATATTTAAGTTAACTATATCGGTAAGTTAAAAGTGGTATCGCTGACACATGTGTGTTACACATAACACACAACTTATTCATTTCATATAAAAATTATGAGTGAGCAAGGATGAAAATATGTTATTTTTCCAAGATGATCCACCCACACACAGTCCCACCAAAATCCATACCAACCTCTACTGATTACCTCTTAAGCTGAAAGATATCAGGGACCTTAAATACACAAGAAAAGAAACAGTCCATCCTGCAACTTAAAGTATTGCTTTACAGAGAGCTGTATCTTTAAAAATGTAACTGAATAGGGGAGAAGAGAGCACTTTACCATCAACAGCAGCACTATTCATAACTGCGAGTTAGAAATACCTACTCCGCTTTCAGTAAGGACCTTAATGGAAAACATAGTGCATAATTTTAACTGTAAGTTGCACCAGTCTCCTGGATGTCTTACACTCAAAAGAAGAATAATAAAAATAAATCCAATGACATTCAAAGATGACCTAGAAAACAGCACAGTTGTAAGTAAGAGACACCACTGTACAAGAACAGCTTACCCATACTACCTAGACAGTAAAGATGCTCATTACAATACCATCATTTATCTCAAGCATATTCAGAAAGAGGAGACTGATAAATACTCCCATTCCCCTGTACATGGGCCCAATAGGATTTACAACTGCCTCTGAAAAGCGCCATTTTACCAAATACGATGGCTCCGTTGTAAATAGCAAACAATTGAATGCTACTGTGTGTTATGAGATATTGGCATTATCTGATTCAGTAGAGATTTCACAGCTATTATTATTAAAACCCTACTTTAGCAACAAGAAATTAGATGCCATGTTTGAGCTAGTCACTTTTCAACCAGCGAGAACGTGGTGATGCTGAAGAACAGTGCAAAGTAATAGCTGAGAACATTCAGACTTCCATACAATCCTTATTTTGTCAAAGGGGTTTAGAGCCTTACAAATTTTGTTCAAAGTATAAAGAAGCTGCACTTGCTTCTCTTTCTCTCTCTCTCCCCCCCCCATAACATATCCTTACTGCAACAAGTATATAAAATATGCATAACAGAGACTACCTGTAAGGCTAATAAACTGCTATTCCTTCTGTTCCTTTCAAAGTTACAGAAATGAGGATGAGAAAGAAAATGCCACATAGCCAGTATCAATTAAGCATCTCTGGCCACAATTGTTTTCACTGATGAAGCAGTAATGGACAGAACCAAGACCACCTGTGCATTACCATAGCTGCTTCACTCTGCTGAAAGTCTTAAGGAGACAAGCAGCATAGGCTATCGCAACACAGCTGCAGCATAAATGGTTCTGTGCCCTAGCATTGTTGATTTAAAAAAAAAAAACAAAAAAACCCCACACATCTCTGTCAACACAGTTCCAAGAAAAAAAAATCAGTGACAATCAGCGACACAAGCTAGTATCAATTAGGTCTCTTCCCTTACTGTTAGTCGCTCTTTTGGTCATTACAAGTAAGGTTAGACATAGAAAACAGCAATCATACATCATGCATTATGTAATTATTGTAAGAACAGACAAAATATGGCAGAAGTTGGATAAGAACCAAACACACACACAAGAAACCTGGGATGTCTACGTAATAGGATCCCCTGATCAAAGTCAAGCAGGAACAGGACCGCACAGCTGGCAACATATACAGTGGGCTATGCTATGGGGATACATGATAGTCTGATGTCAGGCTCTGCCATTATGCAGGATGGGGGGGAAGAGTGGAAGGCATAAGGGATTGCATAAGGAAAAGACAAGGTATGGTGGGAAGAAACAATTAACCCTGGAACTGGGAGATGGGTACATACTCTAGCAGATATCCAGAGAAGTTGACAGAGGGTAACATACCATGAGGAGCACCAACACAGGGTCCCCTAGAGCAGATATCCTCTGGGATGACAGGAAGGGACAGCTGCAGGTAAGCCAGCAATCAGCTACCATGTAGGACTAGATGGTCATACAATTTAAGCACAGAGAAAGAAAGAAAGGCAGAATCAGGGAGGAAGGAAAGAAAATGCCATTAGGGGAAATGGTAAGCAGGCAGGAAGCAGATCCCAGGAGGAGGGCCCAGAGGGACAGATGCTCTGAGGTAGAAGAACAGATGGCAGGAGGATTGCTGAGGGCAAGACCCTTTGAAGAAGGCAGTAGAGAGGAAGGAGCACACCACAGCAGAAGATAACGCTTAGGACTCAGAGGCAGCAGATGGAAGGTGCTTAGCAGCAAGAAGGTAACAAAAACACAACGGGTACCCGGGGTGGTGGGGTCAGACACGAGGGTGCTGTACCGGCGGCTCTGAAGGACAAGCTGCACTACACTGGGGAACGGGCCTAGCGCCCCTTCCGGAAGACGCCCGCGGAGTAGCCCAGCGCCGGCTAGCCGCTCCCG